GCGGGGGCTGGGCCGAGCTGCTGCCGCTGCCAAGAGCAGCGCCACGGCCTCGGCCGAGTCCATATTGGCTCTGCCGTCGCCTCCGCTGTTGTCGGGCTGGCCTTCGCTGCTGTGGAAGACCAGCGGCTGGGGCTCTGGGCTGCCCGTGCCGCTAAGCCTGAGGAAGGTCCTGGCCATGCGTTGTTGGTCGTCGGAGAGTTCTTGCCCTTGCTGCCTTCGTTCGCGGATCTTGGCGCGCAGGACCTCGCGGAGGGAGACGCTGCGGCCCCAAGCAGTGTAGCACACCTCCTCCGCGAGCTGTTCCTTGTAGTCGCAGTATTCGTCATCGTCGGTCGCGTTGAACAGGCAGTCCACGTCCTTGGCCTCCATCAGCTGCAGCACGAAGGGGACGCACCAGTTCAACCACATCTGCTGCTCGCCCAGTTCCTCGTACTGCAGGAACCCACGGGGCACCCATTCAGCTCCGATCAGGCCGATGGTCGTCGGTAGCTCATCGAGGCGGTCCCTGCGCCCTGAAGGCACCGAGCGGGTGCAGATACTCGCCGAGAACTGCCCTGGGCGGTCATTCTTGATGAAGGGGGACTTGGTGACGATGGCGTGGTCCGCGCCGACGTGGAGCTCGCTCTGGACGAGCTCGATGCTGTCGTCCACGTGGCTGCGCGAACTCCTGTTGAGTATTTCCTTGAGCCTGGCCTCCCGGCGGGCTGCAGCAGCTGCCATGGCCTCTCTGGCCGCAGGGGATCATGTCGCGGCCTGCGCGTCTGGGCTGGCGTCGGGCCCCGCTGGGCGGCGCGCCTTGCACTGCGGTTTGCCTGTAGGCCTCTGCGCGGGACGCTTGTTCGCATTCCCGCGCGTGTCGGCCTTGGTGCTGGCTGGCTCCTGCGCCTCCACGGGCGGCTGGTCTGTCTGGGCTTCTCCGTGCTGGGGGCCTTGATCTTGCACCTCGCGCTGGTGTGCAGGCTCGAATACTGTTGGGGGAGCCCTGTCGGTGTGTCCCGCTGGCCCCACGGCGGTCTGCATGAGCTGCAAGCCTTCGTCCTCGTCGGGTCGGCTGCGCCCGCCTGCTGTGTTTCTGCGCCAGGCCTGCTCATTGGCTCTGCGGCGTCGGAGTTCGGCTCCTGGTACAGCTTCGGCTTGGGTCTGGCCGACTTGTTGTGCTCCGAGTGTCGGCAGGTCCATCGCTGCTGCTTCCTGGGCGGTCCCTGCCTGGCTGGCAGAGACTTCCGGCCTTGCCCTCCTTCTGCCTGCGCTACTGTCTGAGCTCCACCTGCCACCAGTGGGGCTCTCCGTCGATGATCTCGATGGCCATGGTGACGATGGGCTGGCTGACTGATCTTCTTCTCCCCCGTTGGCTCCACCAGCCCCGAGATCTCCTCCTTCTGGTTCAGCTCTTCCAGCCCCACCACGTGGGCCATCGTCGTAGCTGGCGTTGTCCTGGTAGAAGCTGTTGTCCCCTTCCACCCCTGGCTGGGCCCCAAGGTGCTGTTGGGCTCCTTCGGCAGGGGCCTGCCCAGCCTGTGGTTGTACTTGTGGATGGGCCTGGCCGGCCTCGCCTTGAGATGGCGCTGCATCAGGATGGTGGTAGTTGTCGCCGTCGCTGTCTGGTTCGGGCACCTGGTCCCAATTAGGCCGTGGTCGGCCTCCAGCCTTCCGTGACGAGCCAGTTGGGAATGTATGTTGGCCTCGGCAGCGCGGGTGCTGGTGCTGTGTGTGGTCCATACCATACTCCTGCGGCCGTGCCGTGGGGCGGAGCCCACTCTGGTGGCTGGCCTCCAAGGTTGGTGAGGTTACCGTTTAGCGTGTCCGTCATCATTCGGTGGGCCTCGTCAAGGTTGGCCCAGTGCATCGCGACCACGTGCAGCCATCCACTAACACTAAGGGACTGGATGTGGTCCGTCAGCCGCTGGCGCATTGTCTGCGTGGTGGTCCACGCGACATTGATGATACCACGTACGTAGTTGAGGATGCCGTCGGTGCCTGCGATGGGCTCCACTTCGTCGCGCAGGCGCCTGTGAATCGGGTTGCGGAGCAGCGCCGTGACGCACTGGTTGCCCCTTGCCGTCCATGACGTTAGCCCTGCTTCTGGCGGAGTGAGGTCATGAACCCACGTGGCCGCATATTCACTTAGCTGTCGGCAGAGGGCGCTCAGGCTGGGGAAAGACTGAATTTGCCTGGTCACCTGCGCTCCGTGTCCCCTGCCCGTGGGGTCGTTGCTGTTAGATTGTTCCAGCCTCCGTCTTGGGCGCGGGGACCTGGATCTCGGAGCGTCTGGCTCGACTGACCCAGCTTGCTCAGCCTGCGCTGGGCCTGGGGCGTCCCTTCTGCGCGGGCCGCTTCGTCAGGCGCATCCGTTTCACCCTCTGTTGCAACGTCGAGCACTGGGGCTGGGGGTTGTTCCGCTGCTGGCGCCGCTGCGCCTGGCGGGCCTGCGGGGTCCGCTGCAGCTGGGCTCTGAGGTCCTTGGAGGACTGTCACGTGCTGCTGCTCGTTTGGCGGTCTTGCCGCTGCCGCTGGAGTTCCTCCTGCTGTCTCGAAGGGGACGTGGTCGGAGAGGGAGTCGTTGCCTGGGTCGTGCTCCTGTGGCTCGGCGCTGGCGTTGGACTCATCCTGGTCCATGGGGATGTAGTCCGCAGAGCTGTTGAGGTGCCCTTCGCGGAATGCCTCATGATGGTGCATCTGCTGCCTGGGGATTAGGAAAGCCCTTGCCGCGGCCTGGTAGGCAGTGAGGCGCTGGATCGCTATGGTTAAGTCGTCGCCATTCTGGGCGTGCATGTGGGCCAGCCGCCGTTCTCGCAGGATGTGCCCACCGTCCCATCCTCGGTCATATCTGTTGGGCACGGCGTTGGAGCTCGGTATCGTAATCGGCGTCACTGACGTACCTGAAGAACACATCGAAATCCTCGCGCCGCAACTCCCGCTTGACGTAGTCCACGCATAAGTCGTTCCAGCTGACTTTGCCCGCGTGGTTGTCGACCAGGTCGGTGATCCACCAGCTAGAAAGTTGCTCCAGCGCGATCTCAAGTGGCTCCAAGTTCTCCTGCGCCACTACGCCATGGATGTCATTGCCACACTCCTCCAGCTTGACGTGGTGGGTCGCTGGGCCCGTTTGGAGTTGGGCCGCCTCGTCGCTTGGCTCTTCGGCTTCCTCCTCCGGGTGCTGTGCTGCTTGTCCTCGGCGAAGTGCGGGGCAGCGTGACTGGTTGCTCGTCGGGGGGCTCAAGTCCAGCAGGCTGTGCTCGCGTGCGCGGTTCCCTCTGGGCTCGACCTCCTCGTTGCTGTCGGCGTCGATGATGCCCGCGAGCCCGTCTTCGCACGTCCTCGATCCCATGAACGACATGATGCGCTGGCCTAGGCCAATAATATCCTGTCTTGCCTCTTGCTCGTCTGGGTCGCTGACGCTCCTGTCTGAGTAACCTGCTCTCACGATTGGTGGGCTGCGTGAACGTTCAGGTCTGCACGTGTGGGAGCTGTCTAGTGGCCGAGCACCTTGGCTTGTGCCGGCTGGGGGAAGGGCACCCCTCTGCACCCCTTCTGTCTCGGTCGGCTGCGCCGAGACCTTGGTGTGTGGATCGGGCCCATCGTCATTGGCGCTGTACTCGTCGTTTGGCTGCGCACTCCGATATTCGCATCGGCGCTTGGTGGTGTTGTCGATGCTGGTGGCCCGTGGTCTGCGTGTGCCCTGTCTCGGTCGTTGCTTGGGTCGCTTCGGTGCTTCAGCTGGGTCGGTGGGCTCTCCTGAGCTGCGCTTGGCTGAGTAGCAGGCTGGGTCACCATTTACTCCTGAAGCTGGGGGGCCATCTCCAGGATTTAGCTCGAGACTCCTCTTGTCAGCTGAATTTACTCCTGAACCTGGGAGGCCATCCCCAGGATTTGGTCGAGGCTTTGACGGGCAGTCTACCCCTGAACCTGGGAGGCCCTCTCCAGGATTTGTATTGCTGGGACTCCTGCCGCCATGATTTATTCCTGAGCCAAGGAGTCCATCTCCTGGAGGATTTGCTCGAGACGTCGGCATCAGCGTTCCAGCCCGCGGGTGCTCGCCTTGGCTTTTGGTTCGCTTGCCCGTGCCCGAGTGGTGTGCGGGCAATAGCGCCGAGAGGCCTCTATGCTGCCACTTCCGCTTGGCCGTGCCCGCTTCCCTCGCCGCTGCACGCATTCAGTGGTTGGCTCTGGGTCTGCGGGGCGACTCGGGCTTGGCGCCCGTGCCGTCTGGCCACTTGGCCTTGCCTGGCTTGGGGGGCTTGCCTCGCCGAAGGCGGTCGAGCTGGTGCTTGGCTGCAGGCGTTACCCAACCACGGCGTCTGTGTCGGAGTCGTAGCATGCGGCTCTTCCCGTCGGAGGAGAGGGAGCCCATTGCTCCACATCGCCAGCGCCAGCATTGCCCATGCAGGTAGCTCAGGTTGTGCGTTGGGTGGATCGGGCCTTGGTTCATGAGGGTGGCGCGCTCCGACTTGGGTACTTTGGGTCCGCCCGCTGCTATTGGCCACCATTGGCATTGCATCGCAGCCATGTGTCCGCATCCAGTCGATCATGGAGAACTTGCCAGGCCCCTTGATGCACTCGAGGCAGACCCACTTGCCGTCGGTCCGCTTGTGCATTCGGCGGCCTGTCTCTTCCTCGACCTGCTTGCGTGTGTGGAAGGCCCTGACCCCTCCGCCCCACTGGCGCGTGCGGGTGAGCCGTGGGTGGCCGAGTCCTGCAAGGTGAGCAGCGACAGCATCGATTCTGCGGTGGACTCGCTTGAGGAGTTTCTCTCTCTCTCTCTCTCTCTCTCGATCAAGGCGACGACCTTGGGGGGCAATGCAGTTGGCTGCGATCTCGGCTCCTCTCTGCGCGTACCCATCAGCGAGCTCGTTCCCTCTGGTGGCGCGCATGGGCTGCCTGATCTTTTGAATCGTGATGACGTCGATGTGCGAGTAGCACTTGATGACGGTGACGTCTCGTATTCCTCCTTCTCGCTCTGATGGCATCTTGGATGCGCTGCCACCATCTAGCCAGGGGGCCCTCTGGGCGGGCATAGTTGTAGCTGCGCCACCCGTCAACCACCGTCTGGGAGTCCGTGACGATGGTGAGTGGTCCGTGTGTGAGCTTGAGCGTCCAGTAGATGGCTGCGAGCTCTGCTGCTGCGACGGTCTGGGGCCCGTCCAGGATGCCGAACCAGCCTAGGTAGTCGTCGATGTCGATGCCTGTGTCTTCGGGCAGCTCCAGCGCTGTGCCCCATCCTGCTCGGGCGATGCGCTTGTCGCCTGGCGTGACTGAGCCGTCAGTGTATGCGACCGCAGCTGCCACGGAGCGGGCGTCGCCAATGCGCATGCCGAAATTCCCGGCCGCCCAGTGCGTGTCGTCGAGGCTTCCCCACTCTGGGGGTGGGTCGATTGGGCACATTTCGTTGGGTAGGATGCCTCTGACCCAAAAGGCGTGCTCCAGCGGGTCGTCTTTGACAGCTCCCGCCCTGGCCACCAGGGCCGCCGTGCTGGTGACCCACTGGTGGTCGATGCCATCCGTGGATGGGCACTCGTGCAGTCTGTGGAATGGCGTGTCGTCCACTCCCAGCTGGCAGCGGGTGCACGTAGGTTGAGTGTGGTACCCTGCTGCATGACATTTGTGGTTGGTCCAAATCGCAGCGCATGCGGATGCTTCAAGCGCGCCTGCCTCTTGGTGCCCCTCTAGCTTGCGGAAGAGACTTGCACTGCTCTGGAGCGCAGAGATGTCGGCGCCTCTCTGTAGTCCTTGTCCTTCAGGGTGCCTGCTCGCCTGGCTCCAAAGGAGGCTGGTCGCGGCGTCCTTGATGGCCTCCTCGACCTCGGTGAAGTTGGCATCCACGGCATCTGAGATTTGCCACGTGTGCCCGCGATGGTCAGTCCACTGATCCGCTTCCTGCCCCTTCCAGCCGGGAATCTCGAGAGAGAGCTGAAGGGCTGCCACGGGGCCCGTGGCGGCCATCCATCGGCCTCGCTTGGTGACGCTGTTCAGGTGGATCTGCACGCGGTGCCATGCTTCGCGGAGGTGGTCGCGTAGGCCATCATTGCGTCGCCACATGCGCACCCATTCGCGAAGTTGGCGGATGACAATGGCCGCCCACGGTTCCTTGTCGCCGTGCGCGAGGATGAGGACCGTAGCCGTGCATCGGTGCCCCGCCGTGATGCCCGCCATGTCGGCTGCCTCAGCTCGTGCCCTCACGATGCCGGGTGGGGTCATGCCCGTTGCGGCCTGGTCGTGCTGCTGTTTGGCCCTGATGTTGGTGCGGTACAGGCTCGCTGATCGTCTTCTCCAACGGGCTGCCCGCAGGAACTGTTTGGCCCGCTTCTTCCGCTGCCTGGCCTGTGATGCACGCTTGGCCTGGGTCGCTCTGCGCCCCCTTCTCCCAATGGTGGTGTCGCAGCCCAGGTCCTTCATGATTTCAGCCTGCGTGAGGGTGAGGCCCATGGCAGCCGCTGTGGCGCCGACTGCATCTCGGACTGCTGGGTGCGAGGCGACTAGCGCACACTTCCCTGAGATGGGCAGCTGGTCGGCTTCGCAGCTTCGTATGATGGAGGCTGCGCTGGTGGCTATCTGGTGCCCCACGGTGCTGCAGGCTCCCTCCGCGCGGATCTGCACGTCGTCGACATACTGCTGGCGTGACCATGCCTTCGGTGCGGTGCGGCGCGCAAGTTCGAGGATGCCGCATGGCATCATGCGAGCCGCATTGTTGGCGTGATTGCAGCCTGCAACGATGCTGTTGCATGGCACCAGTGGGGCTCCGTACGCACCAGAGGCTCGCACGACCCGCGGCGCCACATACATCAGCGTGCATAAGTAGAGCTCGACGGACGGGTACTCCAGGGCATCCGCCTTCTTGACGAGCTTGACCAGGTTAATGTTGTCATGGAACTTCTCTAAGTCCAGAAACAAGCTTGCCCACGCTTCAGCTGAATGCCCGCGTGCAGCCGCTTCGTCCAGGCAAGCCGCGGCGATGAAGGCTTGGAGCGCGGAGCTGCCAGCCACCGCTGCGCCCCAGAAAGCAGCCCTCTCGCCGCACTATTGCCCCACCTCGTGCTTGGTGAGTCTGCCCCAGACTCGAACCAACATGGAGAATAGCCCGATGGGTCTTTCCTCCCCTGCGACCGCGCTGTCGTTCCTCCTGAGGAGCTGATACCACGCGTGGTAGAACTGGTGGGGCCAGGACAGCGTTGCTTCGCAATCATTGGTTCGGTCGGTCAACTCTTGCCTGGCTGGGGTCGGAAGGGCGGCCAACTCTGCTGGACCCCACTGGTCCGTGCCTCTGCCTGTGGACTTCTTGAACTGGCGCACGGCTTTGTCCAGGTCGGCTAGCTCGCATGGCCTTCGGTTGCGGCTGGCCGCGTCGGCCTTGGCGCGCAGGCCCCCCATGGCTGCTTGCAGGTCCTGCGAATCTGTGTCCCTCTGCCAGCGCCTGCCCCAGGCTGCCGCGCGTAGGTTGGCCCCCTCCTGGAGGTCGCCTTCTGGGTGTCCATCAAGTGGGTCGATGATGACTTCGCTGAGGTCCTTCCGCTCTGGCTTGCTGAGGTACCTGTGTCCCTCGCCCATCGATCCTTGGAGTGCTTGCTCTGTCCAGTGGCGTGCTGCGGATCTAGTCTCCTGCCAAGCCTTCTTGTTGTGTGAATCCGCACGTTGGCGGACTGCCTCTACTGTTGTCACCCACTCGTCCTGCTCGTCGCCTGGGACTGGTAGGCGCTGGCCTCGGACGAGTGCCTCCGTACATCGGAATGCCCTGCTGTCTTCGCTGGGGTCGTCTTCCGTGAGCTTCTGGGCGTCCCTGATCTGCTGGCATGTGAGTATGATCGCGTGCTCGATAGCCGCGCGCTGCCCAGAGGTGCCGTTAGTCTTGAGGCATGCCTTTCTGAGCTCGGTCAGCCCGCCTTGCAGTGTGCCCCACATGTTGACTTCAGGTCTCCGAGCCGCCCCTTGGTGGCCTCGCTGATGCTTCAGGAGGCTGGCAGCTGCCGCCCATGCATCCTTGATGGGCTGGCCGCTCCTGGCGTTGTTGCGCGGCTTGACCTCCCATAGATCTGCGAGCGTCTTCTCCGCCGCCATTGCCCAGTAGCCGTATCTGTCGCCCAAGCTGTCGGCGCTGTCTGGGTTGGCCCCGTAGGCCAGGGAGCTTTGGGCCCAGGGCGGGGGTTCCCCCAGCTGGCAGTGGGCGGCGTAGTCCTTGGCGTGGGCCCATGCATCGTCAGCGCAGAAAGCATGGTGCTTCTTGGTGTAGGTCTCGCTCGTCAAGTGCTGGAGGTTGGCGAGCTCATCGTCGTCCAAACCTTCCTCGACGGCCTTTTCGTACTGCTGCCTGTCCCTCTGTGCCCGCTCGATACCTTTGGCGATCTGCGTCTCTACGGTCGGGATCTCGAACCTCCCGGGGGGCCACGGAATACGGACTTGGACTTCGCCTGGCCTGGCCGCGAGTTGGATGCGCAGCCCAATATGCGACCCCCATGGGACTTGGCGCACTACATCCACTGATTTGATGTATGGTCTGGCTGAGTCGGAATACAACAGATAGTCGAGGACTCGACCCCTGCCGCTGGCGCAGGTGAGGTCGGCATCTGGCGCCGGGATCTTGCACTTGAGTGCCTGTGGCCAGCGGGATGAGGCCATCTCATCTGGCGCGCAGCTGAAGTCCCCGACTATGATCCACGGCACTCCGAGCGACCTGGTAACCCTGAGGATGTTGCCCAGATTGGTGCCGTTGTTACCCACGAGCCCAATGCTGCAGTCCAGGTAGCAACTGATGAGCGCGAAGGTGCCATGCCGTAGACGGATGAGTGTGACCGCGGCGTCGCTGAGCTGGTCATGGAAGGCACCCTTGCCCGTCTTACCTGGTAGGTGTGAGAAGGTATTGAGGTCATTTTGGATTAGCCCACATGTGCCTCCATGCTTGCCCTCTCTGCGTTCTGCTTGCCCTGGCCGCTCGGCTGCTCTGCGGCTGCTGGTGGCTGGCGTCCAGGAGTGCATGGGGCGCCACCCGTATCGGCGCAGCCTCTGCTCTTCGGCGTCGCACTGGGGGCGCGCAAGGTGGCGCACCGCAAGGCCAATGAGGTCGAAGCACTGCGCTCCCTCCACGAAAGCTTTCGCCGCGTCGTTGTGCTGGCTGCAAATGCCGAAGAAAACCTGCACGGCCTCCCGTTCAATCAGCGGTTCCCAGCTGCCCGCTGACGATACTCTACCGAGCCTGGCGTGCACGGGTTCATCGGCGTCTTGAGGGTGGTCACCTGGGTCTGGTCGCTGGTGCCGGCTGGTCTGCCTAGCTGCTTGGCGCGCTTGGTCTCCAGGGCGCTGACCTGGTTCGTCATGGCCTGGCTCGGTGTCGAAACGGATTCGACGCTCAGGCTGTCCGCCTGTGTCCTGCTGCCGCTTCCCCTTGGCAGTCGCCTGGGGCTGGCCAGTCTGGCAGTCTCCGTCGCCTCGAGCGTGGGGGCCTACTGCTGCGGCGGCTGCGCTCGCGGTTGCGCAGTTGTTCGCAATGATGGTGGGCTGGCCCCAGCCGCCCGCGCAGGCGCCCGACCTTGGATGGAGGGGGCGCGAACTCTTTCCCAGGTAAGAGTTCTGGGCCCCCTCAATAGTCCAGCTGGCCGCCTGGTTACGGTTGGGCTCGGGCGCGAGCAGAAGTCTGCGGCCCTCGCGCCAGCGGAGGAACTTCGTGGCGATGGCGACGGAGTTGCCGAAGTCGTCCGTCGTGGGCTGGGGTCCAGCAGGCCGTGCAGCCGCTGTTTGGGTGTTGTACGTGTTGGCCAGGCTAGGATGGCTTCGAGGGCCCCCCGCCCCCGCCTCCTTCACCAGGGCCCCCAGGAGCGCGAGCGTGAGTGCCAGTACCTTGCTCGCCCTTGTCGTCCTGCCCTTTGGGTGCCACCTCCTGGGCTTTGGCTGAACGCTGTCGAGGCCTGATGGCTGTGGTCTGGTCGAGGTACTTCTTGACATCATCGGCGTTGGAGAAGTCGCACTTGGCGGGGTCGGTGGTGGCTCCAGCGGCCTCCTCTTTGACTTCGACCTTGGCCTCCTCTGTAGCTTCTCCTTCTCCGTCTCCCACACGGCGGCGCTTCTTGGCAGTGACTGTGGCCTGGAGCTCCCTGAGGGTGTCGGCGACCTCCTTGATCGACGTGCTCTGGTCCTTGGCGGGAGTGTAGACCTCTTTGGCTTGCCGCGCAAGCGCTGCGGCCTGGGCGTACTTGTTCTTGGCTTCGGGGTCCAGGAGCTCCAGGTCCTCCACAGAGAGCTCGGGCAGGTCGCCCCACTGGTCCTCGGTGGCCTGCTGCTGCTGCGAGGGCTGTGGCGTGGGTGCGCCTCCTCCTGCTTTGTTGACCTCGCTCTGGAGCTCATCAAGCTGGACCTTGGCTTCGATGACCTCGCCGGTGGTCTCGTCGAGCTTGACCAGCAGCTCCTGCCTGCGCTTGTCCAGCTGCGCGAGCTGGCCTGTGACCTTCTCCTGGGCCTGCTGGGCCTGTCTCCAGCGCAGCGCAGCGGCCTCCAAGCGCACCCCCAGCTTGGGCTCAGGGTTGGCGGGCCCCTCTGGTGCAGGTGCCAGCACGGGGAGCTTGGCCAGCGTCTCGGCTGCCTGGGCGGTCTGGGTGTCCCCCGACGTCTTGGCGGACTTGACCACAGCCTGGATCGCACGGAGGCTGTCATCATCCAGTCCGAGCGTGGCCAGGGCCTGCTTCGCCGCCAGCTTGTACTTGTCCTTGAGGTCGGCGGGCTTGGGCCACGTGTATGTGCAGGTCTTACATCCCTCCCAGCCTGGAGTGCCCGCACGCTTGGTGTACACCCAGCTCTCGCCTGGTGGGCAGTACGGGCAGACGAGGTACTCCCCACGCCTCTTCTGGCTGCTCTGCCTCTGCCTTGGTTCGCTGGGCACGCGCCGCTGCCAACCGCCCTGTTGATGGTGCTGTTGCGTGTGCCACGGGGCTGTGCCGCGCCAGTCTGCCCCTTGGCTGCGGCCGCCGCGGCCCATGGCGTGCACGTAGCAGTCCTCGTTGTTCTGCGATAGCTTCTGCAGCCTCCTCGGAGGCCCCCCTCAAGCCACCAGCCGCGGTGGCGCTGCGGGCCCACCCCGCGCGCGCCCCACGACGGCTCGTGTATCGCAGGCGGCCCTGGCGCGCGCGGCCACCGCGCGCGCCTCGGGCCACAAGGCTTGAGAGGAGGAAAGAGGAGGAGGAGGAGGAGGAGGAGGAGGAGGAAGAGGAGGAGGAGGAAGAGGAGGAGGACGAGGAGGAGGAGGAGGAGGAAGAGAGAGTCAGTGAGTGGGTGGGACGCGGGGCGCTGCCTCTTCAAAACCAGGACCCAACACCACAGGACGGTTGGGACAAATTATCCTGGCGAAAGACCCAACCATATGCAGTTGTTGGCACCTCAATTGTGAATTTCTTTTTCGGTGGAACGCCCTCTGCGGCCACGACGCGCTGCTCTGGGTGGGGGGAACGCATGCGGGCGGTAGCACTGGGGCCGTCGGTGGAGCTCCCTATGGGGCCACGAAGCGCTGAACTGGGTGGGTGAAAATGTCAAATTGGGATTCCGGGGCGCATGCGGACGGTCCCACTGGGGGTTTCGGTGGAGCTCCCCATGGGGCCATGAATCGCTGTTCTGGGTTAGTGAAAATTCCAAATTGGGTGTTTGGGACGCATGTGGGCGGTCCCACTGGGGGCCTCAGTGGAGTGGCCACGAAGCGCTATACCGGGTGGGCGAAAATGCCAAATTGGGTATGCGGGACGCACGCGGACGGTCCCACGGCTTCGGTGGAGCCCCCGATGGGGCCACGAAGTGTTGTAATGGGTGGGCGAAACTGCCAAATTGCGCGAACGGAACGCATGCGGGCTGTCCCACTGGGGGCTGCGGTGGAGCTCCCTATTGGGCCACGAAGCGCTGTACTGGGTGAGTGAAAATGCCAAATTGGGTGTGCAGGACGCATGCGGACGGTCCAGCTGGCGACGAAACGCCGTAGTGGGTGTGGCGGACGCATGTGGTACCCCCCCCCTGGGGCCTTAGGTGGAGTTCCCTATGGGGCTACGAAGCGCCGTACTGGGTTTGGCGGACGCATGTGGTACCCACCCCCCTCCGGGGCCTTAGGTGGAGTTCCCGATGGGGCCACGAAGCGCCGTACTGGCTGTGGCGGACGCATGTGGTACCCCCCCCCCTTGGGGCCTTCCGCGGCGCTCCCGATGGGGCCACGAAGCGCCGTACTGGGTGGGTGAAACGCATGTAGTACCCCCTTCTGGGATCTTCGGTGTAGCTCCCTATGGGGCCACGGAGCGCCGTCCTGGGTGTGGCGGGCGCATGTGGTACCCCCCTCTGGAGCCTTACGTGGCGCTCCCTATGGGGCCACGAAGCGCCGTACTGGGTGTGGCGGACGCATATGGTATCCCCTACTGGGTGGGTGAAACGCATGGAAGAGGGAGGAGGGGGGAGGAGAAGTGAGTGAGACGCGGGACGCTCTTCAAAACGAGGACCCACACCACAGGACGGTTGGGAAATTCGCCGGCCCAACGGGCCAGAGGCGTGCTAAGATCTCCGGTAACTGGTTAACAATTCTCTAGTTCGCGCGCGCGGGGCGGCCCCTGGGAGTCCCCGGGCGGAAAGTACCCCGGCAAGGTCCTGAGAGAGTCCCGGGAGGAGTCCCCCAGAGCGCTCCAGGAGCGCTCCATGAGCGCACCAACAGGGCTCCGAGACGTCCCCGAGAGCCCCAAGAAAGGCCAAGAGGCCCCCAAGAGGCCCCCAAGATGGTACACGAGGGGTCCGACATGCCACAAGTTCGCTCCAAGACGCCCAAGATAGCCCCCAGACGCCCCAAGAGGCCTCCAAGAGCACTCCCAAGAGGGCCCCCGGAGGCAAAATTCATTGTTTTTCCTGAGGTTTTTGAGAGATTTTGGAGCTTCCACCTGTTCGGCTTCCCGACGCCCCAAGACGGCCCAAGAGGCCCCCAAGATCGCCCCAAGAGGGCCCAAGAGGCCCCCAAGAGGGCCCCAAGATGGCCCAAGAGGGCTCGAAGACGGCCCAAGAAGCCTCCAAGACGGTCCAAGAGGGCCCCAAGAACGCCCCCAAAGGGGCCCCAGAGAGGGAACACGAAACAACATTTCGAGCCCTCGGCCCTAAGAAGCCCCTAGGCCCCAAGAGGCCCCTAAGAGGCCCCAAGAGGCCCCCACGAGGCCCTCAGGAGGCCCCCAAGAGTCCCCCAAGCGGCCCCAGGAGGCCCCCCAAATGCCCCCCCGAGCGCCCCAGGAGTCCCCCAAGCGGCCCCAGGAACCCCCAAAGCGCCGCATTGACACCAGGCCCTCGGGCAAACGGCAGACATGAGACTGTATGGGCCGGCGGAATGAGCGAAGCGATTAAATAATCCCCGATTCTGTTTGACTATTTTGGAGCATTCCTCCTGTAGAGGGACAGGCTCGACTTTAAAACGATCCCGGCGAAAGACCCGACCAAATGCAGTTGTGGGTGCCGCAATTGTGAATCTATTCTTCGGTGAAGCTCCCTATTGGGCCACGAAGCGCTGCACTGGGTGGGGGGGAGCGCATGCGGGCGGTAGCACTGGGGCCGTCGGTGGAGTTCCCTATGGGGCCCCGAGCGCTGTACTGGATGGGTGAAAATGCCAACTTGGACTTCAGGGGCGCATGCGGACGGTCCCGCTGGGGTTTCGGTGGGGCTCCCTATGGGGCCACGACGCGCTGCACTGGGTGGGTGAACGTGCCAAATGGGGTTTCCAAGATGCACGCGGAAGGTCCAATTGGGGGCCGCGGTGGAGATTCCCATGGGGCCACGAAGCGCTGTACTGGGTGGGTGGAAATTTTAACTTGTGCTTCTGGGGCGCACGCGGACGGTCCCACTGGGGGCTTCGGTGGAGCCCCCCATGGAGCCACGAAGCGCTATACTGGGTGGGTGAAAATGCCCAAATGGGCGTGCGGGGCGCATGCGGATGGTCCCGGCGGGGGCTTCGGTGGAGACCCCATGGGGCCACGAAGCGCGAAACGCTGTACTGGGTGGGTGAAACTGCCAAATTGGGTGCGTGGGACGCACGTGGGCGGTCCCACTGGGGCCTTCGGTGGAGATCCCGATTGGGGCCACGAAGCGCTACACTGGGTGGGTGAAAGTGGGACGCATGCGGGCTGTGCCATTGAGGCCTTCGGTGGAGTTCCTAATGGGGCCACGAAGCGCTGTACTGGGTGAGTGAAAATGCCAAATTGGTTGTGCGGGACGCATGCGGACGGTCCCACTGGCTACGAAACACCGTGCTCGGTGTGGCGGACGCATGTGGTACCCCCCCCCCCCTTGGGCCTTCGGTGGGGCTCCCCATGGGGCCACGAAGCGCCGTCCTGGGTGTGGCGGGCGCATGTGGTACCCCCCTCTTCTGGGGCCTGAAGTGGAGTTCCCTATGGGGCTACGAAACGCCGTGCTGGGTCTGGCGGACGCATGTGGTTTCCCCCTTTTGGGGCCTTGCGAGGATTTTGCCCTATGGGGCCACGAAACGCCGTACTGGGTGTGGCGGGCGCATGTGGTACCCCACCCCACACTGGGGCTTTAGGTGGATCTCCCTATGGGGCCACGAAGCGCCGTACAAGGTGTGGCGGACGCATGTCGTATCCCCCCCCCCCCTCCTGCGGCCTTAGGTGGAGCTTCCCATGGGGCCTCGAAGCGCCGTTTCGGGCGTGGCGGACGCATGTGGTACCCCCCCCCCCCTGGGACCTTCGGTGGAGTTCCCCATGGGGCCACGAAGCGCCGTACTGGGTGTGGCGGGCGCATGTTGTATCCCCCTCCCTGGGGCCTTACGTGGCGCTCCCGATGGGGCTACGAAGCGCCGTACTTGGTGTGGCGGGCGCATGTGGTACCCCCCCTGGGGCCGTAGGTGGAGCTCCCCTATGGGGCCACAAAGCTTTGTGGGTGGGTGAAACGCATGGAGGAGGGAGGAGGGGGGAGAAGTGAGTGAGACGCAGGGCGCTGTCTCTTCAAACGAAGACCCAACACCACAGGATGATTGGGAAATAAAAATCCATTCGTTCATCATCGTGGGATCCAGGGTGTGTGTTGATCGTTCCCCAGGGATGATGGGCTTGTTTTCCACCACCACCACCACCACCATAAGTTTGAGGGGGAAGGAAGTGGAGGATGAGGAAGAGGTAGAGGAGGAGGGGGATCCCCTCCCTTCTACCTATGGTGGTGGTGGTGGAAAACAAGCCCACCAAGTGAGGGGGGAAGGGGGAAGACGAGGAGGTGCCGGGGCGAGGCGGCATCCCCGCCGGACCGCAGTGCACCGGGCACCGAGCCCCCCCCCTTCGGTCGAGGAAAGCCGCCGATAGGTGTCCCCGGCGGTGGCGCTGCTGTCCACCGCCGGGTGCCCTTTCGCGCGTCCGCCGGCCAAGATTCGGCGGCGCGCCGAGGGGGAATCGAGAGCGAGGGGGGGGGGCTGTCCATATCCGCCGCCTGGGGACCGAGGTCCTGGTGCCCCAACGGGCGGTGGGTGTGGCTACGTTTGGCCCTCACTGGGGCCCGAATGTATCCGCATCTGCGGCCTGTGGAGGTCCACGAAGATCGATCCCACAGGCGGTGTCTATGGATCAATCCCCGCCTCGGAATGAGAGGGGGCAGTCCTCCTCAGAAGGCGGCGGGGCCTCTCAGAAGCCCTCCGGCCTTCTGAGAAGCCATCTGTGGCTTCGGGGAAAATTCAGACAGCTACTCAGCAGGCCGGGGGGCCTTCTGAGTCCTCTGAGAAGGCCAGCCCCCTCTGCATTCCCCCCTTGGCGCGCCGCCGAAGTTTGCCTGCCGCGCGCGCGCGCGCCCAACAGTTGGTGTTGGCCAGGCACCCCTGGCGCACATATCACCACGGACAATCCCCGGCGCAGACATCACCGCGGAGAATGTGCTCGGGCCCCTCCGCAGCCTCTTGGGGGGAAGGCAACTGCCGGGACCTGGGGCGGTCAGAAAACGACTCGGGACGAGAAACTGCCCCCAGAGAGGAACAACCTGTGTTTCACTATTCTCTGGGATTTGCTGACCCGGGTCGATCCAGACCCGTCTCACGGCTCCCGATATTCACGGTAACCTCCGTCACCGGCCCCGCCAGCCCCCCTTCCGCCCCCCCCTGGTAACATCTCGGTTCGCGCGAGCACCCAAGAACGGCAAGTTCGTCATTCCAGGCTGTGTTAGGAGGCAACTTCTGGGAGGTTCTCGTCGGAAAGACTATAAGGAGGATTCAGCCCCATTTGGAAGCTGTTACGCCAGAGTGGGCCTCGGATTACGCAAGATTCAGCCGGATTAAACGGGACTAAGCGGGATTAAGCCCGAGTAAGCCGGCTTTCGGACCAAGGCAAAAACAGAATTTGACCTCCCAGAAATTGCATCCGAAACCGTGTGATGATCAAGGCCCGCCAGGAGGAGGCGGCCAAGGCTGGGAAGCGCGGGGTCTCTGGGCAGCTCGTCGTGGTGACAGCGAAGCTGGCCAAAACCACCGCGAAGGCCCTCCCGGCCGAGGTCCTCAGGGACGAGTTCTGAGAGCCCAGGGGGTAAGTTAGGGAGCCCACAAAAGACGTGCGCGCCCAACTTTGAATGGGGCCCTGGGACACACAAATAAATACACACACACAAATAACATGATTCCCCACATTTTCACATTTTTTCTTGGTTTCTGTCTTCCCCCTTACTTCCCAAATTTTCCAATATTTTCTATGAATTGTGTCTGTGTGATTATTTTCTCCTGAAACTTGTGCATGAACACGGCCCCTTGACTCGCGAGACAGGCCGCGTGATTCGAACATTCGCGCAATGCCGAACTCTCGAAACCAGCGTGGATTCCTGCACGTGTACGTCCTTCTTTCGCTCCTGACAAGTGACAAGGGGGCAGGCCATCTCGGAGGGATAGCCGCTCAAGAGCGAATCATGACGCTGCCCGTCATCGCCAAGGGGGAAGCGAGGCCTACAGTTCCACGCCGTGAGGCAGGTCACGGCGCAGGGGGCCTGGGCACTTCTTGTTGGCGCGCGGGGCGGCAGGACATTCTCCGCAGAGGGCGGCTGGACACCACCCCCACACCTGGCAGTGGTCATCCTGGGCCTGAGGCTGGTGACGGTGATCAGAGTTATCGGGCGTGTCCCCCTACAGGCAGATTTTGGGCGAAGAATCAAAAATACCCACACGGCGTACTTTTGCTTTTTGACTATTTCTTATATTCACCCTGTAGAGGGACAGGCCCGACTTAAGATTAGAGGCCTCCAAGATGGGATCCGAGTAGATGGGGTCGAAGGATCGCGCCGCCTCGCCAATGCATCGCCAACGGATCGGCGTTGTATCGGCGATGCGTTGGCGACGTCGGCGAGGCATCGGCGATGTCGGCATAGAGACAATCGGGCTTCGCATCGAGCCACATCGTCGATGCATCGTCGATGCAGCGCGATTCACCGACCCCATCGACTCGGACCCCAGCTAGGAGGACATAATAAAAGGCGCCTCATATCGAGTGAGACTTGGGCATCCAAAAATACCTTATTTCAACGACGGACGGTATTCTTAACTAGGTTAGGGCGCCTTCTCGGGGGCGGCCAAGAGGGGGGCGTCCAAGAGGGGGGGGCGCAACTCATGGCCGGCGGCATGTGCGCGGCCATTTGGGGGGGGGGCCCGGGACGTAATGAAACGAGAAGAGGCGCCACGAAATCCGGGGAAAAATCATGGCACCCGCCATGATATCCACACCGCCCTAGTCATCACCCCCCTCTTTGCCGCCCCCGAAGTTAGGGCGCCTTTGCCGCGACGTGCCGCAAACCGGGATCGGGCTGTCCGTGGCCCTCCTGCACGGTCTCTGCCCGCCTCCACTTCGTGACAACTAGGTTCTAGGTATGAAGATGCCGCCTGCCTGACGCCCACTTTCAGGGAAACCGTTTTTGATGCGTCTGGCTGGAGAAAAAAACGTAACATGGAAACGGGGAGAAGCAGACGCTCGTCCGCAGCGCGTTTTACGATTCAATGCCCCTTGCTTCGAGCAAGATGCCATCAGAGATCCACACACCGTTCTGGGACGATGGCCGCGGCCCTGCTCAGGGATGGTGGTGGTGCTTAGCCGCCACCTGCCGAAATCGGGGGCGATGCAGGAGGCGGGGGAAGCGAGCATGCATCGCGGTGAAGACGCTGAGTCAGCACGGTGAAACTGGCGAGGCAGGCAAGGCTATGTTACGTGGCATCGCAGTGGCGATACAAAGTCGGCGTTGAGAAACTGGCAAGGCGTTGAAACAATACAAGCATGCAATATGTGAAACCGCTGGCCGTCGATATGCGACAAAAGAAAAAGCAACACCATTGCCGGCGACCAGTTCCGCCTCCAACTCCTACTCCTCCCCCTCAACTGATCGTTCTTTTCCAACTCCTCCTCCACCCACCCCCTCCTCCTCCTCCTCCTCCTCCTCCTCTCTCCTCTCTCCTCTCCTCCTCTTCTCCTGCTTGGGCAGCGCATGTGCAACCACGAATGTGACTGCGGTGCCTTATCATGGCGCTGCAACGCTCGAGAATTAGAATAACATGTGCCCTCATCGTGTTCTCAATCTTTATCATCCCCTTCTCGTTTTCTCCCTCCTCTTCCTCCACATCCTCGTCCCCCTCGTCCACCCATCATCCGTGTCATCCTGGATATCCCCTCCCCTCCCTGCCTCCCCCTCCTTTTGTTCCTCTGACGCATTCTCCCCTCCGCAGCATCCTCCTCCAGCATCCTCCTCGTCATCATCCGCCATCGCGCCCCCTGGCAAGCTGAGGTGTGATAGAATGCCATGTGCTGTGTGGTATGGCTTGCGCATTCACATGCTTTCATGGATCCCCACACTCCTCACGGCGTGTCGCATGCATCGCACCCCTCTCTCGTTCCTGGGCGCTCTGGCGGCTTCCCGGCGCTCTCCAAGGCGTCCAGGGCCGAAGATCGTCTGGGCAAGCGCCAAAGAGCATCTCAGAAGCGCCCAACAGGTCCCAAGAGGCCTCCACGATGCCCCAGGACATCCCAAAGGCGCTCTCCTGGCACTGCTGCGGGGCATCGAAAATTCAAGAACATGGATGTGCAGTTCAAAACGTGCTTTTTCCAACCTGAGGTCTTCGAAAGCCAACCGTGCCCATTGAGAACCCCAATAACCCCTGGGCGGCCGCAAGAACCCCCGGAACTGGCCAACGAGAGCCTCCGGAGGGACCCAAACCCGCCGCAAATGGCTCCAGCACTGCTCCATAACGGCCGTGAGACCCGCGGACGACTAAGAAGGCCCCCAGCGGCCCAAGACCGAAGATTGCTCAGAAGGGCCCCAGGACGGCCCAAGAGGGCTTCAAGGTAGCAAGACGACTGCCCAACAAGAGCCTACGACAACCCGGAGACGGCCCAACTGAGCCTTTTGAGAGCTCCACAAGGAGTGCAGACGACGAGGTGTGACCTGTGACGGACTTCCTCTTCCTCCTCCTCCTCCTCCTCCTCCTCCTCCTCCTCCTCTTTCTCCTCGTCATCATCATCATCATCATCATCATCATCATCATCATCATCATCATCATCATCATCATCATCATCATCATCATCATCATCATCATCATGTGTTCCTCCTCCCCCTCGTCTGCCACAACCCCTCTCTTCATTACAATCTGCATGTCCTTCACTCTCCTACTCCGCCCAAGAAATGGCTCACGACGTCTGGGGTGCCACACGTGACGGCTTTCTGGGCGCTGCTCAAGCCGTCGGCACAAGGAGGATCGGGGGCATGAGACGAGGGAGCTTCAGCAGGGGGAGGAGGCTGGGCAGGATGAGCGCGGGCCGACGCCGAGGACGACGAGGAGAAACAAACGGACGCGAAGCGTAATAGCTTGTTACAGATCGCCGCCCTCCCAAACTTCAGGGCCCGAACTGTCGCAGGTTACGGCTGCCAGCGTGCTCCCCAAGAATGAGGCCACGATGGAGTCTTGGGCTGGCACGGCGGCGGGACTTCCCGCAAACACCTGGATAATTCCTCCTCCTGCAAGTCCTCCGCCTCTCCTCCCGTTAGCATCCTCCCTCCTTTCACATCATCGACCTCCCTCCGCTTCCACTTCCTCCACATCCTACCCCATTCCTGCCTTCCCCATTCCGTCCCTCGATCCTTCCCGCTCCACCCACTTCTACCTCTCTTCGTGTCTGACATCTCTCCGGCCTCTTCCCCCTCGTCGTCCTTGCTCTCTCTCTCTCTCTCTCGCCGCTTCCCCCCTCCCCCCTTGTTGGCCACGCGCAGAAGGGGGGCAGGGGCACTGGGGAAGGCTTCTTCGAAGGAGGCTCTTCCTTAGAAGACGCGGGCCTCATACTTATAGATGAGCCCCGCGCATTCTAAGAAGCGATCTCCTTTCAGAAGCCTTCCCCTCTCCCCCTGACCCCCCTTCTGCGCGTGGCTGACACTCATCCTCCCTCCGTCCCTGTGCCAGAGGCGACGATAAGGGCGAATAGCCCAGGGGAGGGCAGTACATGTATCCAGGAGCGCCGATGATCCATGTCCTCGAGAAGGCTCCCAGGAGAATGCGTGTAATGCCCGCCCCTGGGCTATTCGCCCTCATCGTCGCCGCCGACCACACCCTCTCACGTTTCGTAGCCCCACAAGGAGCTCCACCGAAGGCCCCCAGTGTTATGACGTTCCAATCTACTTTAGCCTTGACCACCTGAAAGAATTCCGAGCACCAAGAAAGTAATTACCCCAAAAACTCCGATGCTTTCACGTGTCGGGCCCTGGGAGACACTCGCGCGACACTGTTTCGACACTCTTTCGACCCCATCGCCGCCGCCGAGCATTTGGAACATCTGGACTGCACACTCCGGAGAGGAGCCGCCGGCGCGCACCTTCAGAAGAGGGTCGGGCCCGGGGGGCGGGTCTTGGGGGGCGGCCCCCCGGGCCCAACGGAAAGGCCGGGAGGCTTCCAGGGAGGCCTCGGGCAGAGGATGGGAAGACTCAGGTTGCTCCCATCGTACTTGAGGGGGCCACGTCTCAGAAATCGCGTCGAGCACCCAGGAAAGAGTATTGAAGCAGGGTCGAGCGAGCAGCGCCTCCCAGGGCCCGACACGCAAGAGCCCTCCAGTTTCGGTGCTCCATGGTGCTCAACATGATCGAGGCTAGGGTAGAGTGGCACATCACAAAATCGTGGAGGGCTCCCTGCTTGGAAGTAGGTCGGGCGCGTCCCCCTACAGGCGGATTGCGGGCGAAAAATTAAACATACCCTAAACACACTCAAACAATACACAAAAATACTCAAAAAATCCCCCCCGACTATTTAGTTGACTATTTTTGAATATTCCCCCTGCAGAGGGACAGGCCCGACGTAAAGGTAGAGTGGAGCATCAAAGAATTATGAAGGGCTCCCTGCTTAGACGGCGGCCGCCGCCTCGCCCCTCTCTCCTTGCGCGCCCCAACAAGCCCCGAGCGGCAGCGCCGCCCGCGTGCATTCCGGCGCAAGGCCAAGACCTCCGCACGCACCTCCACACGCTTTCTATGCTCATGCTCCTGCGAGGCGGCCACTCCAGGCCTCTCCTGGCGTGCGTTCTGACCCACAGTTCTATCGAAGTCATAAAGGAGCCACCCGCGTAAAAATCACGCCGACACGCGAAGCCGTTTGGCAAACGCGCCCAAATGAGATATCGAACAGGGCAGGGCTGTTTAGTAAAGGCCCAGGGCCCTTTAGTAAACGCCAATTGTATGGTCCGGATGCTTTTTGCCTCCATTGATTCTAAGCAAATCCGGCCGTGGAGACGCGGGCCTCCTAGGAGGCCCACAACAACCGAACACGAAGGAAGAAGGGCGAAAGCCAGGGAACGAGCGGAACGTTTACAGCAAACCCACATAATAAGAATGCACGGTAAGGGTGCAAGGGACCTGGAGGGTCATGTGAACGTTTTCCGAACGAGGTTGGCCAGCGACAGTTACCAAGGATGGGTCGCAGGGGCAGGGATGCAAGGGTAGCCTTGGAAAGTTGTTCATCCTTACTCTTGCCATCTCTCGGACGTCCAATTCCCGTGCGTTGTTTGTTCGCTCTTGCGCGCGATTTGCTTCCTCGGTGATCTTGCATGATCCTCGATGGTCCTCGCGGAAACCAAAATACACACGCCCGAACGATGCCAAGTGCTACGCGGGTTGACTGCACGCCGCGCCTCCTCCTCCTCCTGCTCCTCCGCCTCGACGCCTCCGCCGCCTCCTTCTCCTCCTTCTCCTCCTCCGCCTCCTCCGCCGTCGCCTCCTCCGCCTCCGCCTCCGCCTCCGCCTCCTCCTCCTCCTCCTCCGCCGCCTGCGCCGCCTGCGCCGCCTCCGCCGCCTCCGCCGTCGCCTCCTCCGCCTCCGCCTTCGCCTCCGCCTCCTCCTCCTCATCCCCCTCCTCCTCCTCCGCCTCCTCCGCCTTCCCCTCCGCCTCCGCCGCCTCCGCCTCCTCCGCTGCCTCCTCCTCCGCCTCCTCCGCCGTCGCCTCCTCCTCCTCCGCCTCCGCCTCCGCCTCCTCCTCCTCCTCCTTCGCCTCCTCCGCCTCCCCCTCCGCCTCCACCGCCTCCACCGCCTACGCTGCCTCCGCCTCCGCCTCTGCCTCCTCCTCCTCCTCCTCTTCCTCCTCCTCTTCGATCTCCGCCGCTGCGGCCGCCGACTCTCGACGAGGGAAAGGCCCTGCCAGCCGAGAAGGGCTCAGGCCGACGGCGGGGCGGAGGGCGGCGGCGCGGGCATCTGGAACCGCGCGAAGGGCAGGTGCGCGGGCGCCACCTGGGCATGGGAAACGTACGGTAGGTTCGCGCGGCGTCGGCGCGCGCCAAGGTGTTTGACACCGCGTCGATCGTTCAACCTTGAATCGATCGCGGCCCCGATCGTTCAAGGTTGAATTCCGTCGGGCCCGAGATCTTTATCGTGTCCCTCGATGCTTCCGCGTCGCATAATTCAACCTTGAACGCCTTCGCCGGCGTCGCCGGTGCGCCAATGCCGCACGAACCCAGCGTAGGGGGCACTCGGGTTGGCCTGACAGGTTCATCATGAAAATGACGAGACCCGATCTGAAATTTGACGCGAACTCCCGCTGCAGACAACCCACGACCGCTGAACCATCACAATCCAGGACGCGCTCGTCAGAAAACAGAGGCAAACCCGAGTTCTGGCTTACTCGAGTCTTACGTTTCCCCGATTCTAAAGGGGCCTAGGGACACACAAGTAAATAGACACAACTACAAGGATCCCCCAACATGTTCTCACATGTTGTTGATGTTCGTCTTTCCCCCACCACCACTTCCCATACTTCTCCATGTATTAAATGGGATTGATATTCAGAAATCATGTATGTCTGTGTTTCTGTCCCCCCTTGGGTATCGTCTAACCGAGCCCTGACCCACCTGTGGCGGGCCATATAACCCGTCGGTCGGAATCAGTGGGTAGAAGCATGCAGCAGGAAGGCGTTGGGAGTAGATTGGGCTTCTGCCCGTCCCCTGAAGAGGAAAGAGAAGGTGAGCCCACCCGATCATTGAAGAAGGAAGGCGCCTGATGCAGACTGGGACTCGGGCATCCCAAAACACCTGCTTCCAACGACCCACGTAAAGGGGGAAACTGGCTCAGGGGGAGCACAACGCCCTGGAAGCGGTGGTCCATCGCCGATGAATCGGCGACGGGCCAAACAGCGAAGCCGCACGGCCTGGGCGGGGGGTGGGCCCTCGGGACCCCATCGGCAATCAATCGGCGATTTGGGATTAAGTCGGGCATGTCACCCCACAGGCGGATTTTGGAAGACAAATTCAAGATAGTCCTGAACAAATGTGAACATCAGTTTTTACAATAAAAAACACGTAATATAAACATATGATAAATCGTCCTCATGCTATTATTTTATGATGTTTGGATATTCCTCCTGTAGATGGACGTACTCGACTTAATTCTTGAGTCGAGGGACACCCCCCCTGAGCCCATCCCCCCCCAAGCGTCGCCCCCTGACTTCATGGCCATTGGCCCCGCTGGCCGTCTTGCACACCACTACGAAGGGAAGACAAGACACCCGCGTTAAAAAAGGCCCGCGCCCTCAGAGTTTCGCCGGGCCTGCCACCACCCGGGAGGGTGGGATGGTGCGACTGAGATCTACCACTGGCCAGTGTGGAGGGGAAAATGAAACGGGGACCATGGACCAGATCGGGGAAACGTAAGACTCGGGTACCGGGGGCTCGGGTTGGCCTGACGAGGCCATCACGACGCGATCGTCAAAAAGCGTCGGCAAACCCAAGTGCCGGCTTACTCGACTCACGCTTTCCCGACAAGACTAAACGCGGAAGCGTCGTGCCGATCTTGGACACCGTGCGGCTTGGCCAGCGTCAATTCTCGTGGATCCTCACGAAATCGGCGACGGCCGCCAAGGACAATGACCAAGATCGGCGTCGGCAACACCCCGCGACATCTTGGTCGTGGTCATCGCCATCTTCTTTCGACCGTGGGGGCCCACTCCTCCGATGCCTTCCTTGCCTTGTGTCCATACCAGCTCCCCCGAAGAGTCCCGGCGCAGTCCTTCGAGGCCTCCCAGATTCTCAAAAGGGGTCCGAGTAGACGAGGCCAGAGGATCGCGCCGCATCGCCAACGCATCGGCGATGCATCGTCGATGCATCGCCGACGTCGCGACGCATCGGCGACGTCGGCGTGGAGGAAATCGGGCTCCGCATCGAGCCGCATCGCCAATGCATCGCCAATGCATCGCCGATGCATCGCCGCGGCGGCGCGATCCTCAATGAAGGGGCCCTGAGACACACAAATAAATACACACAAATAAAACTATTCCCCATATTTCCCCATATTTTCTGGGTTTTTGTCTTCCCCCCCACTGCCCATATTTTCCCATATTTTCTGGGGAGTCGACGATTAATTGTGTCTGTGTGTTTCTTTTCCTCCTGACTCAAGACCCCATCTACTCCAGACCCAACTAGGAGGCCGAGAGTCTTCGGGACTGGATTCTCAGCCCGAGCCCGTTCTGGACGGTCTGGGGGCCCCGCGAGGGAGGGGGCAATTTTGGGTGCTGCTGGCGACTGCGGGGGAGGGAGGGGGGGAAGGCACG